AAAATAGCTCCAAAAGGAATGATATCAACCACTGGCAGCATCCTGTTTGCGTAACCCCTTTCTATGCCCAACTCACATCATTCTTGCCCGCTACTTGCTATTGCTTGAGCTTTCCACATCCCAAGAACTGAGTACAACTCCCGAACATACAAGTCTGCAGGTTGCAGTGCTGCAGCAGGCATTTCCTTGTGACCAAGCACTCCTCAGGGCCCTCCAAGCGATGACCAGAAACTACCACCTACTCACAAGCCTGCGCAGCGACATCGCAGGCACTAAGACTCGCTCGTTTCTCTCTGGAAAGGATGCTCTCCACATTCTGGGTCTTAAACTCCTAAACCCTGTCATCTTGCTCACGTTTCTTGAGCCCATCTATTGCTGTTCCGCCTTTGCCTGCCCTCGTTCCTTATCTTCAACACTTTTGCATCTATGCAGTAAGATTTTTTTCTCATCACCTGCTTCCCTGCCTTCTGCAGCAATGTCAGTGTGCCCAGCGTCTTTTAATAAATTACCTTTTTTCCCCACCCAGGAAAATTCTTTAAAATAATTCAATAGTTCAAAATGAACAACTGCCTGATCAGGGAACAGCAGGGACTTTTTATCATTATTTTATTTCTTTTCCCTCCTCAACTAGCCTGGGTTCCCCAATTATTTTTATCTGGGGCAACCTATTTGCAAACCTCCAAAACCCAGCAAATATGACAGGCAGCACTGCTAACGGCAAAGATCTCTTTTCCTCAAGTTTAGGTCCCGAGTACCTTGTCAGGTACTTAAGGACCGAATTGTCATAGAACATCTTGTGGGAAAAAAATAGAGAACAGCCTGCTCTGGTTACACGTACCTCTAAAGTACACCATGTGACTCCTGAAAATACTCTAGAGTCTCCTTTCCCTCTTCCATGCTGCAAAAGTGTCAAGGGAGTTGGTTCACTGCAGTGGATTCAATGCTTTGCATAGCAGACTGATTGCTGGACCTCGACTGCACAGTGAAGCTTCACATAGTACCTGTTTTAGCACTGTCACTGCAAATGATACAGCTGGGAAGTTTACTATTACCAAAGATAAGTCTTATAATTTAGACTATTCGCTCTCTGATATTCATCCAAATACATTCAGGCTTCTCCATACAAGAAGGCACACTGGACCTGGTCCCAGCAGGGATCAGAATGCATGATGGAGTTGGGAGGATGGCTTTGGCTGGGATGGTACAAACCTGCTGTCATTAGAGACTCATCCTGTGTTGCAGGGTAACCAAGCAGAGAAGTAAACTGCTGCTGAAGTTAAGCAGTGGGTTCACAGAGCAAAAAGCAGCCTTCTTCCCAGAAAACAATTCTAGAGGCTTTCAGTGCAGATGGCTGTATATGTACAGGCAATGCAGGAACATCATCACACCTGACAGTTTAGACATGCCATCTAGATTCCTAAAACTGCTGAGTGGAGAGTAAAACATCTCCTCTCAAAAAAGCAGGAAGTGTAGAAGGTGAGAAGGTGCAGGAACAGGGCTCCCACTGTGACAGCCAGGTCAAAGCTGCGATATTTGAGCAAGTTTAGTCATCTGATTCCTCCTTTTTAAGACAGGTGTTGGGACCAGGCACCTTGCAGCATTCATTTCTTGATGGCGTGAAAGAGAAAGTTTGCCATTCTAGTGAAATTGGACAGCCCTGTCTGAGAGCCATGAACCATGAGAAGATAGGAGTCTAGCAATCAGATTTTGACTCTCCCATGCTGGCAACCTATGCCACCTGTAGAAGTGGTGGGTGTACTGATGATGGTATATAATTAGACACTACCAAATTTAAGCCAGTTCAGTGAGAACCTCATCTGACAACCTCTGCCCTAAAAAGTCTGAAGATATGCAAAGTTTGTTGAGAATGATATAGATCTGTTTCAACTTCACTGGTGAATCACTTTTATATAAAAAGCATTTCTGCCCACCACCTGCGTGGGATGACTTGAAAGCGCCTGCAAATCCTTATCACTACCAAATTTTGCAACATTTCAGCTGCAGTGTGTAACAGATCAGATGCATTGCTGATTGGAAAAGCTGGCTGTCAAATTAAAAATATAAAATTAAAGCATTATGAATTACAGTATCTAGTGCACTAACTGTACTAATCCTCCACTTCAAAAAAACTTGTCTGTGCCCAGCAGAATTAATATAGCCAAGTACATACCTGTTGTCTCTTCCATCCCCCCTTAAACCATCCTTTACACTCACTGCAGGAACCTAGTTCTCAATTGTATTTCACAGCAAATCATCACTGGTCCTAAAATGATGGTGCTATGGACAAACCCCAGCTACTCACGTGCTGACCAGTTATACCGCTGTTGTCAGACAGGATATAGCAAGGGTGGGTTCTGCAC